CTGAAATATACGACGTCACAGTCATATCGTCTTTCCAGTGATAGTCGTTGTATGCTTCCAATGCAGCTAGTTTCGTCGTGTTTGAAACCTCGTCATAATGTCCCACGAGAGTCTTCCACATATCAGCGGATGATTTACAGGCGACCACCAAATTAAAATGTGCATCATCGAGAGATTTACTTAACAAAGACCTCGCCAAAGCGTCCTTCTTTTTCCAATCAGCCAGTGTGGCATCCGTTGGTTGCTCTCTCGATCCATCAGCCACATCAAACACATCGTTTGCTTCGAGATGAGCCTGAATTTCAAAACGCCAACGAACGTAACTGCTTGAGTTCAGTTGCGTAACAGACTTCAAGTTTATTTTCATCCTTGCAGATTCAAGCGATGTTACTTGGACCTCTGTCTTCCTTGCACACTATCACTCTCCTTTTTTTTATTTATTATTATAGCCGTTCACACTCCTGGGCCCATAACCTATTGGGATTTTCTTTATTTTTGAATAAGATAAAAGACAGAGCTTGGTTTCTGGCGTGTGCGAAACAATAATTAAAAAAAGGTTAGGTTAGTACGAGAAGGGTGCTCACGCCATCTGTCAGGTAACTGATATAATAATAAACAAAAAACGTGATATATATATATAGTGGGACTAACGGCATACAATCAACAGTTACATGTTTCAAACATCTTTTTTTCATTAACGTTTCCTAAACGCTCCACACACTCCGTAAAAAATACAGAAACATACCGATATACTTTCTAAATACTTCATGAATAATTCGTCTACGCTTTCTAAACGTAAAAAGTACACGGAGCATTCAAATATACTTCGTGTACACTTTTAGAATAGAGAAATATAAAACTTCTTTTAAAACGGAGTGTCATTGTTGTGTTGAACTGTCCAGCGAATGTAAACGTCGTTGAGCAATTTCATGGCACCGCCACCAGAGGGACACAGCGAGTTAAACTTTTTGAATTTAAAAAATTACATAGATAGGATAAAAGAAATAATTGAAAGATTTTTTAGTTGTGTTATAATTAAATAATTTTTTTGAAGTGAGCCCCTAGGGGGGTAAAAGCATAACTTTTATAGATGTTTACCAAATAAATGAAATATACTTTAAAATATTATCATTTGCCGAGGACGTCGATTACATTTCGTTCACGTTCGTCTAAGAATTCGACGATTTACATTCTCGGTTTACATTCTCTATACAACCTAATGACAGTCCGTTTATTCAGTGAACATTTTGCTCGTGCTTGCCAAAGAACTTACCTACCTTTATTTACGCTTATTTAACGTTTAGTTGACACTTCCTTTCCATGTATCTATTTTGGCTTCTTATAAATTTCGTTTACGTTTCCGTTACACTTTCTTTACACTCCAATTAACACTTTGATATTCACTTTACATTTTCATCACGGCCGCATGCAATACAATGTAAACCATATGTGTCCTGTTAGGACATGCATGGTAAACTATATACTGTAACAAGGCGATTTCTTCTTACATGAAACGAATCCATCTCATGGCGGGATCGCGTATGAAATTGACAGATCTTGCTTAATTTTTGTTGACAATTTGCTATCAGATGCTAGCAAACTTTGTTTGCTTTTTGTCATCAATTTGTTGTTCGATTCAGCAATTTTTGTTCAACTTCTATTGACAATTCGCCGTCAAGTTAGATCAAAATTTGCTCAGCTTTTATCGACAACTTGCTATTAATTTCTTGTAAATTTACTTAGTTTTTTTCGATAATTTAATCTTATGTTATATCAGTAGATTTTGTTCCTTATCTGTTATCAATTCGCTAACAGCTTTGAATATAACAAAATTTGTATCAAATTTGGCGCCTTATTGTCTTCAAAATTTGTTGCAAGATTTTACAAAATATATTTCCGACAGATTTGGCTATCTTGGCTATAGTCTCCAGATAGACAAAAAGATGTCTTTTAGATTTCTGAAAAATATATCACTATGTCTTGTGATATCTTGCATTTTTTAAGGAAAAATATCTTTTAGGGATCTAAAAGATGTCTTAGGCAATGGTATAAGATATCTTTCAGATATCTAGAGATGTCTTGAAGATATCTTAAAAAGCAAATCCATATTTAAAAAACGAATAATAACACAACATAACAATGTTAAGTTTATTAATAAAAAGTTGCTATTTGTGCTACAAACAACAATTTTTAATTAATAAACTTAACATTGTTATGCTTTATCTTTTTAATATAAGACAAATATAACTTTTTTATTTTGAAAACATATTTTATTTATTTTTAGCTTAATATATCATATTATATGAATATATGATATATTTGTTACATATTCGCGTTATAAATTCGTTACATATTAGGTGTTGGAATTAATTCGTAGCGTTTTTTTAATGAAAGAATGTTATTTATTTCACATGAGCATTAAAAAATACATTAATGAAAGTACTTCCCATCACTTTCTACTACTTTTGATCATCTTTCGGGCAGTGAATGAATACCGCGTCGGAAGAACTGTTCATCTTTAGATGAAATCCAGGAATCGAACCATTTTGTACAATCTTCGTAAGATGTGAACTTCTGCTCGCACAAGCTATGAGCTAATGATCGAAACAAGTGGTAGTCGCTAGGTGCAATATCAGGAGAATACGGCGGGTGCGGTAGCACTTCCCATTTAAGTGTTTCCAGGTATGTTTTTACCGGTTTTGCAACGTGTGGGCGAGCATTGTCGTGCAGCAAGATGACTTTATCGTGTCTTTCGAAGTATTCCGACCGTTTTTGCTTCAATGCACGGCTCAAGCGCATCAGTTGCCGTCGGTAGAGATCTCCAGTAACGGTTTCATGCGGTTTTAGCAGTTCGTAGTATATGACACCCTTCTGATCCCACCAAATACAGAGCAGGAGCTTTGAGCCATGGATATTGGGCTTTGCCACTGATGTTGATGGTTCGCCGGGCTTAACCCATGACTTTCTGCGCTTTGGATTGTCATAATGGATCCACTTTTCGTCACCGGTAACAATCCGATGCAAAAAACCTTTTCTTTTCTGCCGTTGAAGCAGCAGTTCGCACGTGAGAAAACGTCTCTCAATATCCCTTGGTTTCAATTCATATGGGACCCAATGTCCTTCCTTCTGGATCATGCCCAAACTTTTAAGACGTTTTCCTATTGTTGAGAAGTCAACTTCCAATGACGTAGATAATTCTTTAAGTGTTTGACATGAGTTTTCATTGAGCAGTGCCTGCAAATCGTTATCTTCAAATTTTTTCGGCTGACCAGGTCGCTCCTTGTCATCCAAGTCGAAATCACCAGCTTTAAAACGTGCAAACCACTTCCTACACGTTTGCTCAGCCAGAGCATGTTCACTATACACATCCACTAAAATACGATGAGCTTCAGCTGCACTTTTGTTCATATTAAAGTAATGAAGCAAAACTCCCCGCAAAAACACTTTATCTGGCACAAATTTTGACATATTCAATGAATTATACAGTATTGTTATTTATGATTTCAAGAAAGGTTATGTACGGCAAATGACGTCCTATGATAGATGTTTACAATGTATACAGAACTATAGGTAACAACGAAATAGTGTACTGCTTGTGCCATCTCTTGTAAAACGCTACGAATTAATTCCAACACCTAATATTTATTGCGATTCATTACATATTCGTATTTCATTATATATATTTATATATTCTTTAAAAGCATATAATATATTTTATTAAATATGCTACATATCTCTTCCCCCCTCCCTCCCTCTTCCCTTCCCCCTCCCTCTCCCCTTTCTCTCCCTCGATCTTTCCACATGAATGTATTATACAACATAATTATTTATAAAAACATAATAAAATGATACATTAAAAAACACAACTTTAAAGATAGTTTCATTATCTTCAATTAGCTTCATTGTCAAATTATTACATTGGAAGTAATCAATCATATTAATCTTCATTAAGATTCGCCAATCATAATTAATTGATCATTAATTGACTTATTGAGTTATTCAGAGACGATAAAACCGAACCTAAATAAACTATTCTAAACATTACCTATAAAATATTTGATAAAATCGAAAAATGACGATTTTGATAGTAATAAGATGCATAATCGTAAGTTTATAATATTACAACAAATAAAGTGTTACGATACACATACACACGCACACGCACACACACACACACACACACACACACAAAACAAAATATAAATAACAATAATAATTAGTTATAATGTCATTCAATATGGCCATAAAAAGGTTGAGAAGATCTACTCATTAATCTATATCGCATACGAAAATTTGTATTATATCTAACTATATCTATATTCCTTAAAATGAAAAGAAGTGTTTTACTATTATAACACGAGTGTCATATTACAGTTTTAATGTTGAGGGAAATTATAACGCACATATACGTTACATGTAATTTGGAATTTGATGAGCAAATTTCGCATCCATAGCAAGTAATCCCAGAAAATGTAAAGTAATTAAACATCCTAACACCATCAAATTTCAAAATATACAAAAAATATTTAACTATACCCACCAATAACAAAATGAACAAATATTCTCCATTACTTTTAGACCAGCATTAGTTAACGTTCTTAATCAAGGTTTGATAGTGAGATTGGAAAAGTGTACATACATTATGGCATGAATTGTGCACACATTATGATAGTATCAATGATTCAACAGGTTTATAATGATTGTTTTTGTAAAACATTTTTTGACAAAACAAAGAACGTAAATCATAGCATATTTATATTTTCATATCATGGAAAAATGTATAAACATTCTCCATATGAATTAAATCAGTGAGTAGGAAAGACCGGGGTCAGTAGACTATAAGGATAAGTAGAAAATCGAGGCTACGTAATAAATAAATCGCGCGAGACACGCGTAAACATGTCTAAACACGAAACAGCAACTGTTGCTCAGTTTGCTGTAATATCTCGAGACGGATGCGTCGTAGAAATTACGCTATAATTAAAAAAAATCGTACACATAAGTAAATATTTTTATTCTTAACATTTTTGTTTTACAATCGTATTGTCTAATTTGATTTCAATTTAGATAGTAAGTGTAGTTTTTACTTAATAAAATCCAACAGATTTTTTTGTTTGTCTATCTTTGTTATCATATATTATTAATTTTTTTTTATGAACTGATAAGGCTAGTAGGCTAACCACAACAAGGTTATACAACTAATTTCGTGACGACTCTAATAGTACCTACTCTCAAACTTCTTGGAATGAAATCTCACTCTAAAATACAGTGAAAATACAGTCATTTTTTAAAAAGAGTGAAAATATTGAGACTTCCACGAGTGCTTTCTATATAAAGATTATGCGTTTCGCGGATTTCCTCCATGTC